TGGTGTGACGGGGATTCGAACCCGCGACCCGCAGATTGCGAGTAGAGTGCCCTAACCACCTGGCCATGCCGGGCCGTGTGGTGTGTAAGTGTTTTTGAGAGTGAGAAAGATTTAAAGTAATCCTCGACCAGCACGTATTTAAGTGTTATTGGGTTTAAAATTAAAATTAATTCTTGGCTTGAAATAAGAAAGATAAGAAAATGTGGTATTTGAACATATTATGAGTTTATATCTTCTTGTAGTATCATAATATTTATTTTTAATTGATTCTTTTTTTTTCTTCTCAATATGTGCAGGTTTCACATAACACGTGGGCAAGAAAACGGATAAGTTGATCATGCTTTGAGCTACCTTTCTTCCCTTGTTTTTCTCGAAAGTAGATAATACCTGTTATCACCCAGGGATAACATTGCTTAATAGGACACATTGTGTAAGGAAGTCAACAGCAGTGTTCTTCAACAGTTGTTCAGGTGATATCTAAAGGTTATTGCTCCACCTATGTAGTAATAAGAATGACCAGTCACGTGGTTAGCGAGTGTAGTTCTGGACAAATGCGAGGTTTCTTCCCAACTAAATAACCTTGGGTTTAGACAGTCTAATACAACATATCAACTGAGTTGTCTTAAGTATAAATCAATAAAAGTGACAGTCCAATGTGACTAAGCATGCAAAGAGGTACACACAATGTGTTTCATTGTATAATAAAGATTGCTAGCTTTGTATTTCACGTCATGTTCAGACTCTTTATTTCATATAACATCGATCCAGTAAGTAGAAGTTTTAATATTATACCGTAATTGATTTCTTGATTGAATCTTCAGTTATACAGGATATCTATCCGGTGTAGCTCTATTAATTCAACTTTAACTGGATATATCACAAGAGTACCTAAGGACAATCGACCGGCGCTGCCCTTTGTTACAATCCTGAAGCATAAATGTGTAATATAGTACTCTTTAAAACTTCTCTTGTACAAATGATATACCCCCCAGTGGCACATTACGTCATAACCTTTGTGCATAATTTAAAACAAACAAACAAATGATAAATAAATTACATATTTATGATTTGGAATTATGATATTGTTCAATTCCATATTCTTTGCAATACCTGGTCAACTTCCACATTAGCATAAACTACACTTGCAATCAAATTAGTTTCTTTATTGCAACAGTACTTCTTTAAATACGTTATTTCAAGAGTAATACAAAAGAATCTAATTGTCGAATCGCAGACACCGAAATATGTAAGAACACTTGTCTTAGGCCTAACATAAGTTAAGCCTTTAATATAGTACGGCCTATATTCGATAAAGAGATAAATTAATATTAATTTTTGTACGTTTTTTCCTTTAGTTTAAGTAGAGGTAAATTTTACTTCATTTATTCTATCAATAAATAAACTTATAATGTTATTCAACGACCTAACGTTAGGCCTTTTTAAAGCCTCTGATAAGTTTTAATATGTTGTTGTACAAAATGTCCACTAAAGTATATTTACATTCTCCTTTTGTTTACATCCGCTGAAAAATAAAATGCGCGCGCATGCGTATTTAGATAGTAAGGTGCGCGCGCATTTCCAGGACAGACAAAAAGTATTATTATAATAGATGCTTAGAGGCGCGTCATCTCCAATAGTAATGCTACTGAAAGTGGAAAAGCAAAAAATTAAGACATTTTTTTTTCAATGAAAGAAAAATTTTATAGTAAAATATTCACTCTAACCGGACAAATGGTCGAATTAAGATCGAACAATTATTTGAATAAAATAAACATAAGAAAATAAAAAATACAGTTATATGTTTTGTACTGGAAAATAAAATGTTCGGAAGAGGGTCGCATGCTCGCAATTACATTAAAGGAAAGGCATTTAACAGTCCACATACATTTTTCAAGTATTCATTTAACAACGTTATGGATGCAATGAAAAAAACAATTGCCATTCGCTACGGCCGGCGTATTATAGATCTTGTCGAAGGATTGAAAAATACGAGAGTTAGCTCATCTAATTTTTGAAAATTGGATGAACGTTTTTTTCAAATGTCATCCATATGGCATTATACGGAATAGACTGAAAATCTTATTTCATATTGTGAATAAACATATCCAAACATTCAGAATAAGCTATTATTCGCGAAAGAATATCAGAATACAAGGAAAAAGTATTTTCTCCAAAATTAGCAACAAAATGTGTTACAACCAAGTCTGTTGTAACTATTTAAGATTACACAGATATCATGAAAATTACTGCCATTAGCATTGAGCGAGAATATCATTAGCTTAAATTAACAAGTTTAAAGAACTTTTATTGCTATATAGATATTAAAGGGACAAAATAATGGAAATAAATAACCAGTCGTAAAGTTAAGTAAACATCTTAATGATATTAAGTAAGTATACTATATCTTGGACTTAATGTTGTTCCTTCATCGAAACTAACACTTCATACTGATATCATTGCTTCCATTCCAGCAGTCGCTAATACATTAATATCACAATTGCTAATGAATTGTTTTTCCTAGTTCGAGAAGCCCTGAAATACCGTATTTTTCGGAATATAAGACGCACCCTTATTTTGAAGAGAAAATTTTGGGGAAAGAAAGCTACAGTCGCATTTGAAAGATTTTTATTGAACAAAAATTCAATTTTATACTTTAGAAATTAATATATATTGTTAT